AGAGGGCCCGGAGAAAACCCACCGGGTTGGACAGGCAACCCTACTCCTTGTCACGTACAAACGGGGAATCGAAACCACGCCAGTTGACTCAATGACAGACTTTATGATACAGCGCCCACGTGAAGTTCGTTTGGTTTACCTACACTCACTATAAATAATACTAACGACACATAGTTTATTTAACAGCAATTCTCCCTTAATTACGTTGTTGAAGAACGAAAGGGGGAGGTGGGGGGGACATCGGGGGAACGACAGGACGTAATCTGGTTTTGATGTTTATTAAACTACCGTAAGGACATGAACACTTTATATGTTTCAGCATATGTTGTTTTTTCAGATAGGTACTGGGTCAGGGTTGGAGATAATCATAGTTTTATAAACTGACCTACATAATAGATACCGTAGATAAAAATATAACCTTGTCATATATTTATATTAGTTTTAAAAACTATATTCCCTTCTGTGAAATACACGTGGTCGGGACAAAGCATCGTTCGTAAATATTAGCTAGAGTTACACTCTGTTCCTGAAGAATCTCCGCTAATCCATTTAACAAAATGGTTAAACTATATAAAACGGTCTTTTGTCTATTGCTCATACTTTTGGAGCTCCATAGTGCAGAACTCACAAGCTACAAGTACCCGTTTCTGAATCCAAATTTACCATTCGATGTACGAGTGGGTGATTTAGTTGGACGATTGACTCTAGAGGAGATACAAGATCAGATAGCTCATGGTACTGGTGCAGCACCAGCTATTGATAGACTTGGTATAAAACCCTTTGTTTGGTGGAGTAACTGTGCTCGAGGAGATACCGGATCAGGAAATGCTCGTACATTATTTTTCTTTGAGTAATCCCCTGTTTACATTTGAAGCGATCATTATGTTATATATTTGGACCAAGGACTGGGTCCCAACCACTACTAAATTCTTGTGGTTCTTGTTATTTTTTGGCGGCCAAAGCTCCACTCATTTTTTTGCGATCGACATAAAACTTGGTATGATTCTGTCTTGGACGATTGCGTGTAGGACTTCGATTTTTGATATGACGACATAATTTCAATATGACGTCACAATTTCAAGATGTATTTTCCTGTCGCATAGTACATGGTACTAGTTTTTCAAAATATTCTTCTTAATGCGTTCAATTAATTTATGCCTTTTCATCCCCGATTTGATTTATGTGGTTTTTTTCAGTCCTGATTTGATGTTCCGTGTTGCCAGAGTAACAGCTCTTGAGACTCGAGCAAAAAATAATTATTTTGTGAAGCAAGGTTAATACCACATCCATCAGGGTCTGAGTTGTTTCAGTCCAACTCTTGATTTATATCGAGATCATATGTGGGGACGTGATGAGGTAAACAATTCTTATATTTAACAACAACGCTTCTTTACAGGCAGGTGGGTAAGACGCTGGCTCGCTAGTCTGGAGGTCGCAGTTTCGATCCAAGCAATGGCCGAGAAAGTTCATCGGATTTTCCGCCGTGGCTTCCCCTTGTCAGTGATGCAGGACGGAGGACCTGACAAGGACAATTGTCTTCTCTTTCATATGAGACGTTAAAGATCCCTTGCCAGTTGGAATTCGATATAAGAGTAGGCCATAATGCCGCTGCCCGGGCAATATTTCCCTCCTAGCACACTGTTTGGTTATTTGTTAACAGGTTTAACACTTCGGCCTACGGTCTCTGTGGTTAAACCTATGCTATAAATATAACTGAGTTAGTTTTACTTTGACTGTTGAGTTTTCAAGACAGCCTGGATTGATATACGTATGAAGAGGGATTCTGCCCTCACTGAACAAATCAACACAAATTTATCATAGAAATGATGTTATTTTAGTTTTTAACCAGATTCAAGATCTATTGTCACTTTATCCTTTGACAGGGAACATGGGGCGAAGATACGACATAGTCTTTGAAAATGCTTTTCCATGTCACGAAAATAGATGATTTGGGGCGGCATCTTGGATTTCCACCATACCTGAAAAGCATACAATAGATACATTACAAGCCATACCTGACCTTTCTAAGTGATCTGTCAAGCTCAAAATGTCCGAAAATCCAGAAAATAGTCGCAATTTTGGAAAAAATGGCCGCCGGCAGCCATTTTTGGCAAGAAAATTCTGAAAATATTACGGTGTAAGTTTGACCCCGAGTGGACTTCGGTGACGGGTAGAAACCTTAGAAATTCCAAAAAAAAGTGAAAAGTGAAACACCCTATTACACAGCCTCTGGTGGACCAGACAGTTATCCTGTTTCTAGAATGAAATTTGATGCAAAAGTAAGAACTGTAATAGTGCCTGTTTTCAAAAAGGGCAATTCCAGTAACCCTGACAATTATAGAGGAATTACCCTTGTTAGCTGCTTCAGCAAATTATTCACTGGCATATTAAACAATAGATTATTAGAATATGACAAATCACATTGTAGTATTATTCATTCCCAGTTTGGTTTCAGAAAAGGTTTATCAACTACAGATGCTATTTTTATTCTAAATACGTT